CTTAGCAACTATATCTTTCCGTACTCGGGCCATTTACCTCATCATATGAATTTAAAGTGTTGTATATGGGGGTTGAACATCTAATTTCATTCACAAATATTATTGTTTTCCTTATTTTCAATGACAAGCGAAATGTGAACTACGATCCAAAACAGAAACTGAAAATATGAATGGTGCACAAATGRTATTGTTTAAATATATTTAAAAAATTGAATACTTTTAGGACGTCCATAAAATTCACGATGTTGTTTTTCTTATTCATATTAAAAAAGTAAAATATCAAAATTTCACATACCGAAAAGGAAATTGTAAAAATTGAGCGTTTGATTTAGAATTGATACTTGATGGCTATACGGATTAATTATAATATACTGCTGTAGGTACCTAATAATAGTGTATACTTATGATGTAATTAATTAAAATTCTGATAAATAATTTTAGTTTATGATGCTGTGTAATTGTGTGAATATTTTACTGCAGGTTTTTTTAGTAATAGTCAATAGATATTACTAAAAACACTTCGTTATATCTGTAGCATATTATGTATACAATTTAACTTTAAAAAAATCATCTGATTAAACTTTAACATACGTGATATAATAATATGGAAACTAAGTAAAATGTCATTTTATAATATTAAAAGTATTAATAATTATTTATAATTTATGAAATTTTTAACGGTGATCATTTATTTGTATTTACTTACACGCGTCTCGCCAATTTAACGATATGTTGACAAAGTGGGTGATACGGTTTTTTATTTAGCTTTGCTCCTGTATAAATGTAGAGTTCTGGACTTATACAGGGTGTTCCGCGAGGATTTGCCCATTGTGATATCTCCCGAAATAATGGTGATATCAAAATTATGGTTTTCTAATAAGACTCATAAGAACTATAATTATTTCATATTTTAATTTATTTTAATGTTTTGGTAAACAAGTTAAAAAATATATTTTTTTATTTAATTATTTCCAAAAAATTAAAGATAGCCATTTTTTAGAGTTTATTTTTCTGAAAATATTGACGTTTCAAAATTTTATTTTCATTAATTTCCCGATTTTTAATATTTTTTTTTTTTAGTTTCGAGAAAAATTGTGAATTATTTAACACCGTAATGTTATCA